TGAGTGCAACCCCCGCCTGTCCGGCAGCAAGGTCTGGTGGGCTGAGCGCGGCGTCGGCAGGTCTGCTTCAAGCTCTGTTGCTCAGGGTGGCTTGGGTGACTCTCCCGTCCTCCCCGGCCATGCCCGGGCTGCCTCTCGTGCCCGCGGGAAGCGCGCTGCCATGGCACAGCATGTCTCACCGCTCCCCTCCGCTCTGCTCCCAGATGATGTGCTGACCAAGGACGCCGGCGAGTGCGTGATCTGTTTGGAGGAGCTGCTGCAGGGGGACACGATAGCCAGGCTGCCCTGCCTCTGCATTTACCACAAAAGCTACAGCATGGTGCTGGTGGGCACCGCTGATGGGACGCGGCACACTGACTGCAAGGGGACAGCAATGGGGCAGGTGGCACCTGCCATTGCCTGCTTCTTCCTGGCATTCGCGGATGTCCGAGAGCATGGAGGGCCTATGAGGGGGCAGGCCGAGGTCTGGCGCCATGGGGCATGGCGCGTGACGCTCTCTCCTCTCTCCAGCTGTATAGATTCCTGGTTTGAAGTGAACAGATCCTGCCCAGAGCATCCTTCTGATTGACCCCCTGGGCGTGCTTGCTGGCTTCTCTCTAAGGTGAGCACGGCGGCATGCCCAGCACTGCCTCGGCCTGTGCCAGCGGTGCAGAAAGCAGCCGTTTTCGTGGTGAGCCCACAGCACTCGATTCGCTCTCCCACCCAGCATTAGCTCTGGGTGTTTGTAGCAGTGCTCGCCCACGAGAGGCTTCATGGAGGGACCTGTGCTCTGCCGGGGCAGGCAGGAGCACAGATGCTCTCAGCCCCTTTTCCATGTGTGCCCTGGAGTGGGCTGGCCACTGGAGGGGAGGAGAATGGATGTGCCTCAGTACGGGGAAGAGCTGGACAACGGGGTGGACGTGGCTCCTGCGCCCACGGTGTGGGCCGTGCTGTGCTGGTGCTCACCCGGGCTTGTCTCTGTCTCTGCAGGGCACCTTGCTATACCTGCTGTACCTCCTCTCCCTGTCCCACCCACCCTGTCTGGAGTTTTGGGTTGACTTCAAATTCCTCAAAAAGAAGAAGAAAAACGAAAAAACAGAAACTTGAATCCACTTGGGACAACGGCGATTTTTTATTTTATTATTTTTATTTGTGTGTTTTTTTTTTTTAATTTAAAGGATTAAAAAATATATATATAACATCCAGGACAGACAGTGTCAGAAAAGCAGAGCAACCTCTGCGCCTGCCGGCACGGGGAGAGCCCTGCCCACCAGGGAGGCTGTGGGGCCGCTCTCGCCGCCCTTGGCTGAAACCCTGCCATGATGTTTGGCTTTTCTTCCCGACGCGAACGGAGAAGCTGCCAGGGGACAGCCGGCCAAACGGAGCACGCGGTATTTCTCGCTGGCACCCTCATCTCCTGCCCGGACTCGCCTGGCATCTAGGGGCTCTGCTTGTTTTTTTTTTGCACTGACTAACGGGAATTTTCTCCTCTGTCCCGTCTCCCTTTTGGAGATCACCGACCCGGACCTGGCAGTGTGAGACAGGGACTCTACCCCACGCCGGGAGCGGGGCCACTGCTCTTCCCCTGCAGAGGCGCTGAGGGGAGGCGGGGGGGTCTGTCTTTCAAGTGTTTACAACAACAACAACAAAAAAAGAGAAAAGTGTTGACTGGTGTGTTCTTCGATTTGAGCTTCCCTGCCCCAGTGATGTTTACAGACTGGTCACTCTTTAACTCAGCTATAACCACTCAGAGACTGAACAGCCGCAGCCTCCCCACCGTCCCCGTCCCGTCGCCGTCGGACTCCTTGTTGCCAAAAACGCCCCCTCTACCCCTTTTTCTTTCCATCGCCTTCTGAGTCGCGAAAGCCTGGAGGAAGGGGCCGGGAGAAGGTCTCCCGCCAGCTCCGTGCGTGCGAGGGGCTCATCCAGGCACCGGTGGCCTCTCACCCGGACCCACGA